ACAGTGTTGTTTTTCCAATCTGTTTCTGTTTTCTCTTAATAAGAGTTTTTACTTCTGGAAAAGATAGTGGCTGGTAGGTCTGTAGTTTGTTACAACTTTCCTTGGCTAAAGCAGCGCTTTCAACATTTGATACCAGTATAACGGAATCCACTACAAGTGAATTTACAACATTACATACCAACAAAACAAGTACAGTGTTACAACATACAGTGTGCTGTCGGGGTCAGTTTTTGAAACAGGATGCTGTTTATGAACCAGTTCTTCCCGATGCTCAGATCATGTTGGTGTTAGAAGCGCATCAGTACAACATAATACGGGTATAACATACATACCAGTATCATAAACATAACATTATATTAAACTTACCGGTACAATAAACATACCCATGCAACAAGCATATCGGTACAACATAATACAGGTTACAACATTCATACCAGTATAACATAATACAGGTTACAACATACATACCAGTACAACATAATACAGGTTACAACATACATACCAGTATAACATAATACAGGTTACAACATACATACCAGTACAACATAATACAGGTTACAACATACATACCAGTATAACATAATACAGGTTACAACATACATACCAATACAACATAATACAGGTTACAACATACATACCAGCCAGTATAACATAATACAGGTTACATACATACCAGTATATAATACAGTATAAAACATACCAATACAACATACAGGTTACAACATACATACCAGCCACAAATACAGGTTACATAATACAGGTTACAACATACATACCAGTATAACATAATACAGGTTACAACATACATACCAATACAACATAATACAGGTTACAACATACATACCAGCCAGTATAACATAATACAGGTTACAACATACATACCAGTATAACATAATACAGGTTACAACATACATACAATACAACATAATACAGGTTACAACATACATACAGGTTAACAACATACATTACCATATATACCAGTATAACATAATACAGGTTACAACATATATATATACCAGTATACAGGTTACAACATATATACCAGTTTACATAATACATATAACATATATACCAGTATAACATAATACAGGTTACAACATATATACCAGTTTAACATAATACAGGTTACAACATAATACCAGTTTAACATAATACAGGTTACAACATATATACCAGTATAAAATAATACAGGTTACAACATATATACCAGTATAACATAATACAGGTTACAACATATATACCAGTATAACATAATACAGGTTACTACATATATACCAGTATAACAATACAGGTTACAACATATATACCAGTACAACATAATACAGGTTACAACATACATACCAGCATAACAAGCATACCTGTATAAAATAAACAACAGTACTGTCTTTGACTGTCCTCTGTCGGCAGAGGCCAGTGTGCAGCTCCTCAACCAGGTTCTGGGTAGAAACAAACTGGTCAGAAACAAAATAGATGACCATCTCTGCAGTATCAAGATGTTGTCTGCGCTGGCGACTGTGGCTGGTATTTTTCAGGTGGCAGACCAGTTTAGGGGACTGTTGTTTCAGAATGATTGCCATGATGGCTGCTAGCTTTAAACAGTCTTGAGCATAGCTGAAGACAATCTCTCCTGGTAAAAAAACAAAAACAAAAAATTGGAGAAATGAAGAAATTACAAAAACTATTATTAGAATAATAAAAGGCTGGCTATTAAAGAGGATCACTGGCACCTTTCCGTCTTTCCAGGCGATAGTGTTATATTGCGCTATGAGGAGGCATGAGACTCACAGCCCATGGCGATGGCGAGTGTGACTAGTAAGACCCGCCCGTGTCAAGAAAAGTCTTCCACAATGATAGCATGGGATTTCAGAACCATGTTGTCAAGATTTGTGTTTAACCCGTTTCTTTTCAGACGCTCAGCTCTCATCCTTTCTGCAATAATTTCTTCATTCAGTCTCATTCCCTTCTTGATATACCCTTTCCACACAACACGGTCCATGGCATTGTGTTCCCATGTGTCCACCTCAATACCTGTATAATTCATGTCCCGCTTACACACATCTTTATATCGTAGTAGAGGTCGGCCTCGACATCTTCTTCCTGTATGTTTCCGAGACCGATTAAGGCCAGGGATGAAGTTCCTCCTCTCCATAGCACAAAGCCTGGGCAGTATTGTAGAGACCATATGTTGCCCAAGCATAATGATGATTATTAATGATTAATGATTATTAAAGAGGATTAGAGAAAACTGAATTATTTTCGTCATTTGAAACATCACGAAAGTTTAGAGAGAACAATACTATATATGCCTGGGAAGAGAGGAAGAGGAAGAGGAAGGTCAAAGAGAAGATGGGTGAAGGATGCGGCGGATGATCTCTAGATAGGTGTATCAGACGCTGGACATCTTGCTTCTGATCGAGAAGTTCTCCGGAGGGCTGTTATGGGAGCAAGGTTCTGCAAAGGACGTGCTACTGAATGACTGATTATTGGAACAACACCTATTATACAATTTATTGAACAACTAAGACTGTAATGGTTTGATGATTTAATGAGAGTGAATTCAATGATGCCAGCAACAAGTGCTTTCAACATGAAAGTAGAAACACCAAGAGGTAGGGGACAACCAAGAAGAAGATGGACTGGAGGAGTCACTGATATCTGGAGACTCCAAAACATCACAGTAGACCAGTCAATGGGGCGTGCCCTAGCTCGGATCTGATCATCTGTTAACCTGTGATGCCTCGTGGCAGAAAGAAGAATTTGGACAAAAGGAAAGGAAGAAGGAAAAAGGGCAACATTTTAAAATCATCTCTAAATCACATGCACAAACAGGTGACCTTTTCGAGCACCCCATATGGGTTCCGGGGCCCCATTTTGGGGAGGAAAAAAGAATAGACTCACTGCCAACCCCCCTCCACCCCCTCCCACCCCACTTCCACCCTAACAAGCATGCCTCAAAAAGTGACTTATTATGAGTTGGGGGAAATGGGATGTGTTGGATCAAAAGGTGCAGATATTGCAGCCTAGCTATAAACCCCAATACAATGTGCCAATCACTCTTGTAACCTGAGGCTCGTTTAAAAAAAAAAAGAAAAAACACACACACACACACACACACATGATGAAGAAATTGGCAGGCACCACTTGGGGAGCAGACAGTTGTATCTTGAAGCAGGTATACACTGGCACAGTCAGACCAACTCTCGAATACAGCAGCCCATTCCAATAAACAGATACTAGACAAAACGCAAAATAGAAGTCTGCGTACAATTCTGGGAGCCATAAAATCTACACCTATTGTAGAAATGGAAAAGGCAGCCAACATCATCCCCTTAGAAGAAAGAAGAAGGACAAAAGCAATTCTACATGCTGAAAAAATGAAGAGAATGCTAAACCACCCATTACACGAAAAATTGGCAGCCAGGACAAAAAACCGAATAAAGCGCACAAGCCTAAACCATCTAACTAAGGAATTTGGAAAGTCATTCTCTTCACTACTTAACCAACAATGTACACCTGAAGAGTTATCTTTTGATCTCTGGGACTCCGAATTATTGACACTCAATGTGTCAACATCCATCCCGAACCTGGGAAACAAAGATGCTGAGCCCGCTTTAGTGAAGAAAGCACTCACAATGGAACACCTCAACAACATGTTCCCACAGGACAGCTGGACGAGAATCTACACGGATGGATCAGCAAAAGAGGCAACTACGAATGGTGGGGCAGGTGTTTATATAAAACACCCAGATGCCACTACTGTGTCCCTAGCAGCCCCCACCGGACGAACTTGCTCTAACTACAAGGCAGAGCTCTCAGCCCTTTTGATGGCAGCGCAGTATATGAACAATCTGCAAATTACCGCAGGCAGGATAGTTTTTCTGACTGACTCATTGTCAGCTATACAAGCCCTAGAGTCCAAACCTACCGACAGCACACTACAAAGTCTAACACAGGAACTTGCTATGTTGTCAAATAAGGCAGAAATTCACTTGCAGTGGATTCCGTCTCACTGTGGCATCAAAGGCAATGAAAGCGCAGATGCTTTAGCCAAGGAAGGCAGTAACAAACCACAGACCTACCAGCCACTATCTTTTCTAGAAGTCAAAACTCTCATTAAGAGAAAATCAGAAACAGATTGGAAAACCAACACTGGTTATAACTACGGAAAAGATTTTCTGAAACACTTGAACAGAACAGGCCAAGTCACAGTTTTTCGCTTACGCACTGGACACTGCAGACTCAATAAACACTCACATAAATTAGGTATGAGCCAAACAGCTCTCTTCCAGTGTCTTTGTGCTGAATAGACTCCAGAACATGTCCTGCAAGACTGTCCTCTCCTGGCGGAGCTGAGGAGCGACATATGGCAACACCCAGTAGAACTGACAACTAAGCTTTGGGGAAACCTAAGAGACCTTGAAAAGACATCCCAGTTTATGACCCACAGTGGATTATGCGCATGACCAGAGATCGCTGAAGAAGAAGAAGTTCACAAACTGCCCCCCCCCCAAACTATTTGTAGTGGTAGGTGAACATTGCAGCATGAAAGAACTAGGTCATGATCATTTTCAACTTCTTACTTTGTCTTTTAAGGGCGAATATATATATATAAAAACGAAAAAGAATGAGTTAACATAACAACTATTTGGGATTAAAAGAGCTAACAAAGAAGTGTTTTTAAAAGAGAAATAAAATATATACCGGATCTTCTCGATTTATAACCGAGTTTCGTTCCGAATAATAGGTCAAAAGCCAAACTGGTCATAAGCTGAATTTATATTTTTTTTTAAATTTAATATTTTTGTGCAGTGTGAAAAATACATAATATGAACTCTACTGCATCAGCTTTGGAAACTTGTCCACACCACCAATGTAGCTATTTGTCTTTATTTACAGTTTTGTTTAAAAACAAATTTTTTGGGATTTTAAAAATGTATTAATTTGTGTGTGTGTGGTCGTAAGTGGCGTAGGTAACAAGCTGAAGAGAAGGTGTACACTACCTTTGACAGTGTCGAGGAACCGTTGAGGAGCTTTCTTCACCACACTGTTACCAGCCAGATAAAACTCATTGATAAACTTAACCCCTCGTTTGTGAGCCAACGTTTGTTTAAATGTGGTCACGTTGGGGATCTGAAATACAAACGAGTTTATTATTGTATAACCCATAATACCGGCATCTGTGGCTAAGGGTTATGAACACAATTTATGATTTCAAAATAGTGGGTTTAATTCAGCTGCAGGTGACTTGGCAACAGACAGCTTTCCACTGATTCTGACAACAGGATATCAACCCGTCAGAAAGGAATGACAAACAGCTGAAGATGAATGAATGAAAGAATGAATGAATAAATCAAGAAATGACATCATTGCCCTCAGGACATTCCCACATGTGCTACATCCCCTACTTCAGTAGCAAACAAAGAGCTGACATGCTAATAGTACTAGCTGCAACCTGATAAAAGTCCACCTATGTTTACCCGTCAGGGCTGAACATCTTCCAGAACTTCTACTCCCCCCCGGCTTAATTAGTCTTCCAGTGTGTGGAATGGAAATCCCTATCTGTTCTTTTACACTGTCTATTTGATCACATAGAGCCTTCCCCACATTCACTTTATCATGTAGGAGCTGGTTACCCCGCACATCTGACTGTCTGGACAGAAAATCTATGATATGCCCTTGATCTGGGTCTTCTTCAGTGATGCAAGCCATCATGCATACAGGACATGAGTTTCAATATTCCTGTGAGTTGTGTTACAATTACAACATGTCTGGCTGTGTTGCTCTCAAGCCATCGAAAAGCTGCCGCTACTGCCTCTACCTCCATTCTCATTCTGGATGTGGTGACTTTGTAAGTGAGGGTTTCTGTTTTCAAGCAGTGTCCATTCACCTTTTCAATCAAACGCCTACCACTCTTCATCCCTCTCACTACAGACCCACCTGTAAACATGATGATGTCACCTAGGCATGAGTATTTATTGATCAGCTCTTGCAACCCTGACTGTTTCTCCTGCTATCCATTCCCTGCTCCCTCAGTCCAAGGCAACTATCACTTTACACAAGTCTGTTTTGCTGGGTAGCATCATAACCCCTTCTTCATCCACATGCTATCTTGTCAGTAGTACAATTAGTTGAAGGTAAAAATTGCCTAGTAAAACTACAAATAACTAACGAAAGCAAGGTTGGGTTTGTATTGTCCTGTAAAGGATACGTAAGTAACTTTTTTTTAAAACAACAGAAATATAAAGGAGACAAAAATTAAAACACATCAGAAACTGCGGGTATGAAAAAACAACAGCATCCCTGAACCCAGAAACAGACAGCATAAACCTGTGGAAGTTAATCAGAAAGAAACCTACAAAAACAAAGCCAGTACAGTCCTGGGGTTCCATCAGAGCCTCAGTGGCATTTTGGTTAGTGCGCCTGCCTGCTGCTGCTGAGACAGTGGTCTGTTCTCCTTCATAGCATTCACTGGCTGTAAGCTTTGGTCTTCATCCAGAACCTGAGTTCTGCAAGCACATCTGTTTGAACATATCTTGTTTATCTGTATGCAGACTGTTGGTTCCTTGCCTCTCAGGCAGATACACTCCAAATTCGAAGGAAACACTCATGTACCCTGACTTTAATGGAAACACCCTAATTAGTTGCCTCTTATGACATGCTTGTTAGGGGACAGAAGGTATACAAGCCCTCCCCCCTCCCTTCCCCTTTTTCCCCCAATCAAGAACTGTAACTTACATAAGGACAAGTAAATAAATTGTAACTCTTTTGAACATTTTTTCGTGAAATAATTTTTAAAAATGTGTTCAACATTAATCAATTTTTAAAAAGTAACTAAAGATGAAATACCTACAGCTACCCGGTCTTTTCTCTCTATTACCAGCTCTGCAATCCTGGCAGCAAATTTGGCAATATTTTCTGGTCCACTGCCCAGGTCAGCATATGGCACAGAGGTCAGCCGGCGAGGTACTGACTGCAAGCTGTCAGTGATAACAGGAACTAGAAGAATAGAATCCTGCATTTACGGTGGAAAAAAAAATGTGAGAAGTGTATGGAAAAAATAATAACATTCAAGTAATTAAAACAATGTTTCCGCATGGTCAATTTGATCTTCTTCTTCTTCTTTTTCTGAGCGTTCACTGGAAAGTTCTTGTTGTTAGTCCACTTCTTGACCTTGTTGCAGAACTTGAGTTTTACATGCACATCCATTACACAGATTTAGCTTATGTGTATGCAGACTGTTGGTTCTTGTCACTCAGGCACATGCACTCAGACTTAAAAGGGAACACCCCTAATTAGCCTTCTCTTACAATGTACGTGTTGTGGGGTTGGGGGGGGGGGGGGGGGTCTATTCTTTTCCCCACCAAAAAAAGGCCACTGAACCCACACAGAAAACTTCAACTCCGACTGTAAGCTCTGGCTGTTCATCCACCTCTGGACTTTAGTCTTGTTCCAGAACCTGAGTGTTGCGTGCGCATCTGTTGTACATATCTGACTTATCTTTATGCAAATTTAGGGTTTCTTGCCTCTCAGGCAGATGTACTCTGACTTTGAAGGAAGCCCCAATTAGATGACTCCTACAACATGCTTGTGGGGAGGCAGTGGGTCTATTCTTGTTTCCCTATACTGGGGCCCCTGAACCCATAAGAGTGAGTGTCTGGACAAGAACATATTTCATATAAATGCTAATGATACACACAGATTAAAGTCACACAACAGTGAACATACGTGAGCATACTGTCTAGCCAGGGCTAAGTTAAACTCCTCATTGCAAACTGCAGACTCCAGGTAGCCTGGGGCGAGGAAGGCCACAAAACAGTGAGTCTTGCTCACAGCTTCGTACAAAGCCTGCTGCCAGATGTTGCCTGAAGGATATTTCAATACAATAAATATCAGTCAATCATTCAGGGGATTTAGTTACTGCGCTTCTGTGATAATGAGAAAATTAAAAATGAAGGCATTAGAAGAATATTAAGACTGAAACCAGTCATACAATTCATTAAAGATCAACTGATAGGATGATCTGGCTGTCTGATGAGTACCAACCATCACAGACGTTTTTCTTCTTATAGACCTTTAGACCTTGCTGTGTGGCGTTGGTAGTCATGTCTATTCACAACCTTCTGTCTTGTGTACTTTCAGTCAGTTCAAACACCCATGATCCTCCACGCCACGATGTCAAACTGTCCAGCCTCTTTTCCCCTAAAACTTTTCCATTGTCATAATGTACTCCAGTTTTCTGCTTCTCCTGAAATGACCAAAGAATACAGATTGTCTCCCCCTGATGTGGGCAATCAGTTCTCTTCTGATTCAGTTTCTTTGAAGACGTCTTCATTACCCTTTATCTGTCCAGAGTATTCTCAGCATTGGCCTGTAAAACCACATCTCTGCAGCTTCCAAATAATTTTTCCCTTACTGACATGGATACTGAAGAAAAATAATGAACACAAGAAAAAAAAGTCTGTTGGTTAGTGAGGAGCGGCTGGCTGAACGTTAGAACGCTGGGATCTCAAGCGAGAGACCTAGGTTCATATGCTCAGTAAGCTGGGGATTTTTTCTGTCAGGGGCAAAATAAAATCCTCACCTGCACAGTCGTGGCGACAGCACTAGCCATGAGGCCGTAAATCCTCAGACTCAAAGACCACCCTGCCTACACTGCAAAAGTGGTAAATAAAGGCAGTAATTGGCTGTTAGTCTACAGATTATCATTATTGCACGTCGAACCATACAGTCCATAAGTGCTCAGATCCCGCCTTCAGTATCTCCCTCAGTTTGTAGTGGCTTATGACACCAGTTCTGTGTTGGTTTACTATTCTTCTTTGGGCCTCTGTGTTTCGCTCTTCTCTGACTTCACCCATTTTTATGTTATATTTGTGTAGTCTTTCAGTGTTGCAGATTCAAAATCCTTACCTGACTCGTTTAATCGAGCCACCTCTCTGAGGGCATTCAGTATATCAGTCCTGTCCATTACTCATCTGTTTCCAGACGCGAGCATCACTTGCAAGTCTGTCAGCTCATTCATTCACCTTGATATTGATGTGTGAATACAGCCATTAGCAGTAACCATGTTTCATAAACAAGCCAGTGTGGACAAGTTGGAAAAGTGACATGTTAAGGGGAATCGGACCCAAACCTGAAGTGCTGGTTTTGTGGCTTTTTGGGGTGGGTTAACAAATAATAACCAGGACTCAACACCTCTTAAACAAACCTGCTTTCAGCTCCTTCACGTCAAAGAAAATATTTAAATGAGGGTAATTTGTCCTAAGAATATGTTCCAGCTCTCTAGGTTCCTTTCCGTGGCGATGGGAGTAGGATAAAAAAATATCGTATGTTGTGTTACGACTCAGTGCTAGAGTTTCCAGAATCTCCTGGTCAGTGTCGTCATCAGGCATGGCAGTTGGTACCTTCAGTGACTTGATGACATCAGAACATGCCGATTCAATCAGTGCTGTAGCTGATTTTTCATCTTCAGAGAGGCTGTTGGAGAAGGGGAAAGTCACTGTTGAGGAGTTATTCAAATGCAAAGAGATATGCTGAGACAGAAGTTATTCAGGTTAAGACAAAGGTTATTCAGACTGAGACAGAAGTTATTCAGGTTAAGACAAAGGTTATTCAGACTGAGACAGAAGTTATTCAGGTTAAGACAAAGGTTATTCAGACTGAGACAGAAGTTATTCAGGTTAAGACAAAGGTAATATAGACTGAGACAGAAGTTATTCAGGTTAAGACAAAGGTTATTCAGACTGAGACGGAAGTTATTCAGGTTAAGACAAAGGTTATATAGACTGAGACAGAAGTTATCAGGTTAAGACAAAGGTTATTCAGACTGAGACAGAAGTTATCAGGTTAAGACAAAGGTTATTCAGACTGAGACGGAAGTTATTCACGTTAAGACAAAGGTAATTCAGACTGAGACAGAAGTTATTCACGTTAAGACAAAGGTTATTCAGACTGAGACAGAAGTTATTCAGGTTAAGACAAAGGTTATTCAGACTGAGACAGAAGTTATTCAGGTTAAGACAAAGGTTATTCAGACTGAGACAGAAGTTATTCAGGTTAAGACAAAGGTTATTCAGACTGAGACAGAAGTTATTCAGGTTAAGACAAAAGTTATTCAGACTGAGACAGAAGTTGCTCATGCTGGCACAACAGTAAAAAAAAAATATGTTAAATCAGGTTATTCATGTTAAGACAGAAGTGTTTCATTTTAGGACAGAAGTTATTCATGCTGGGACAACATTTATTCATGCTGAGACAAAAGTTATTTAGGTTAGGATGTAGGTTTTTCATGTTGGACTAGAAGTTGTTCATGTTGGGACAAAATTTGTTCAGGTTAAGACAAAAGTTATTTATGTTAGGCCAGAAGTTATTCATGTTAAGTAAAAAAGTAAAAGTAAAGGTCTTTTTCCCACGCCTTTAGGCATATAGGGCATATAGGGCCAGACCAATATTTTTAGAGACCAATCGGCACAAGATAGGTAATGTAGTCAGCATCATGCCGGCCACTTTTGCTTTCTAGGACTGCACCCAGTACCCACTCAAGGCTAGGTCGACCTGGGAGTCAAGGTTATTTTTTGAAAAAAGTCTGGCTCGGCCAGGTAGCGAACCCACGACCTTCCGATCTGCACGTAAGCGAATAGCCGCTACGTCAAAGTGACTCCCAAAAGTAAAGATCCCTTTTCACGCCTTAGGCGCATCAGGCATATAGGAAGAGCATCCCATATTTTTTACAGGCCAATCTGCACTAGGTAAGTAATGTGGTCAGCATTATGCCAGCCGTCTTTACTTCCCCGGGACAGCCATCCTGGCACCCATTTTAGACTGGGTCGACCTGCAACGCCCCACACCATGATAAATTAAAATCCACACAGGAAGCAGCAGGTTTCGATCCCGGTACGTTGGAATTTCGAATCAGACTCGCAATGCCTAAGCCACGGACGCCTTCTATTCATGTCGGGGCAAAAGTTATTCATGCAGGGACAAAAGTTATTGATGATGGGACAAAAGTTATTGATGATAGGAGAAAAGTTATTGATGATGCGACAAAAGTTATTGATGATGGAACAAAAGTTATTGATGATGGGACAAAATTTATTCATGATGGGACAAAAGTGATTCATGATGGGACACATGTTATTCATGCTGGGACAAAGGTTATTGATGATGAGACAAAAGTTATTGATGATGGGACAAAAGTTATTGATGATGGAACGAAAGTTATTGATGATGGGACAAAATTTATTCATGATGGAACAAAAGTTACAACAGCACCTCCCATGAGGACAAGTCCCACTATTGAAGAGGAAGGAAACCTTTAGCTAAATACCTACATGTTTTTAAAGAGTAAGTGACAGCTTTGTTGCTTATAAATACTAAAGAAGAAAAGGATCCTCACCTATCAGATACAATACAAGCACATCCCATCTAAACTATCCAGATAGCAACAATAGAGACTAGGAAAGAAACAAGGAACCATGTCTGAAGAATTTACTGATTTATTTATTTAAGAATGAACATTTTAACACAACAGGCATACCCACAGATGCCCAATCTCCTGCAGCAAATATATTTAGGAGTAGATGCTTACTACATGATCTCCCCAAGCCAGTCGGCAAGGCACTCGCTGATGGCGATCTCTGTCACCTGTACATTTGTGCTACCTGTGTGAGAGTCATATTCCAGACATCTGGTATGAACTAGACGTCCAGGAAACGTAGCTGTTGGCAGTATACACAAGTTTAGATTAACTGGGGGTCACATAATGACCCCAATAATTATGTTTTCAATATCCTTATCTGCACAGGACTACAGGTTTCAGCTAGGGGTGTAGTCACGGCAGGTGCCCTAACTATAACCTTTTTAGGACTGAACAGGGTATCTGCGATCTGCTTTGTTAGTCTGACATACAGACTGACAGTTTTTAAATCTCAGGATGGTAGGCTAAGCTGTTAGATAGTAGCCCACAAGGGAACAAACTGATCGATCGATCAATGTTTTCACCCGAGTTATCTAAATGAAAGCAAGGAAAATGCTTGGAAACTTGATGTAAATGAGGATACGAACCTGCACTCCACATACTGTACAATACTCATGTAACTGGGGAAGGATGTCACTGTCTTCATGTGGAAAGGTATGACCACTTCTGCCTTCTTTAGCCTGTTGCAGCAGAGAGCTATGTTAAACTGCTCTACACACTCAATGTCTTCTAGATATGCTGGGGTCAACAGAATGATGATCCTGTGGATTGAAAACATATACTGTTGTAGTAAGTAAGTAATAAAGTAAAGGACCCTTTCCACGCCATTAGGCGTATAGGGCATATAGGGCTAGACCTATATTTTTATAGACCAATCGGCACAAGATGGGTGATGTGGTCAGCATCACACCGGCCGCCATTACTTCCCGGGACTGCACTAAAGGCTGGGTCAACCTGGGAGCCAAGGTCATTTTTGAAAAAAGATCGGCTTTGCCAGAGAACGAACCCACGACCTTCTGATCCACGGTGAGCGTCTAGCCGCTCGGCTACTGCAACTCCCATATTGTTGTAGGCAAAAATGTAAAAGTAGAAAGCTACGCTCAATATTTCAAGACATTCTATAGCTTTAACAAAATAATTATTTTGTTATTTGAAACAATGTTTAACCCTTTTGCATGATAACCTCCTTGAAATTTTCTAGAGAAATCCTTTAAAAACAACAATTTTAACACAGAATTCTTTTGTTCGCCTGACATAATTTGTATATATCTGTAATTTTGTCTCTGTTACTTTCCATATGGTTCTTTTTGGCCAGAAGTTCCCCTTTGTATGCACAGCAGTCTTGTAGTATATATTCTATGTATTCTACTGTCTGAAACAACATTCCACAAGTGCACCTGACTTCTTTTCTTTACGTCCTCTTTTACTGCTTCGGGTGTTAAACGAGATATAAGGTCCTGCTTTGTTCTCTTCTGATGGTTTTGACCATAGACACATCATGGTGCTGTAGAGCTTCTCTAATGTTATCTTCCCATCTTGTTCTTGGTCTGCCTCTCCTCTTTTGGTATATGCCTCCTATGGTATGGCATCAGAAGGCATTCTCTCCAAGTGGGCAAACCGTTTGAATTGCGGTCTTTGTAAGTAATTTAGAATTGGTTCTGTGCTGACTTTATCTCGTATGACCTCATTCTTGATTTTATCTCTTCTGGTCACTCCTAGTCTTTCTTAGATGCCTCATTTCCAAAATTACTAATTTTCTTTTATGTTTTGTTGTGAGTGACCACGTCTGGCACTGATAGCGTAGAGTGGGAATGAATATGCTTTGTATGAGATATGAGATGTTTCTCTGTGCTGACTGGGACTGCCTTATGCTGTGACTGACATATACCACATTAAAAATCTGTATTCATGTGACGGCATGATCGGTTGTGTCTTACTCTTAGGGGCAGCATAATGACTTGTTCTGGTCTATCCATTATATAGTAGTCATCTTATTCTGGTGATTTTCCGGTTAATTTAATATTCCTTGTTGTTTTTGTGACTGGTACATTGGGCTGCTCTTTTGTCGCACTTTTCCCTACCAGATGATCAGCTCTCTTATTTCCAGCAAAAGGACTGCAGTCCAAAAGTGGATGAACAACCAGAGTTTACAGCTGGTGAACGCGAAGAAGAAGAAGAAAATTAAGAAGATTGTGATTCTAGGCTGACAGCCAAATGCAGTCAGCAGTGTTCATAATTCTGATAGTTCTTCAGACTCGAGTGCATCAAGTACTTATTATTATTATTATCGAACACCGGCTATGAATTCCAGTGGAAGGTCCCGGTTAATCGTCCGCTTGGACTTTTGGCTTTCACCTGGACCTGATTTTTGCGTGTACAACCGTTTTTCATTTCCTTGCCTCTTGGGCAGCTGTACGCCGACTTCGAAGGAAGACGTCAGGCCTATTTCTAGGGTGACTGTGGCCATTGTTTTGTGTGGGTCGAGAAGTTTGCCTAATTTGTGTGGTGTCCATTTTGTCTCCTTCGCCGCAGGTATTGCCCCCAGAGTACCCCTTTGGGGCAGCCCCCTGTGGAACAGTTTGGCCCTCAAGGGAAGGCAGGGGCAGATCATGGGCATTCCCCGCCATCCAAGGAGGCTTCCATGCATGCAGAGCCGGCACATATTGCTCTGATTCTGGGCTCACCCAAGGAATCGTCACGTCCTGCACATGCCTGCTTAACCTCACAACCGTATCAGGCCTCCCACTCGACATGGGCTGCGCCCTCTGGAAGTAAGCGGGGAGCAGCCCGTGGGTTTTGGACTTTTGTGACCACACAGATAGGTGCATTAGCCTGACAGAATTTCACATCCTGAATCAGGCGCATCGTTATCAGTTTTGTACCAGCACTCGGGCGAGTGGGGTCTTTGGGTGTGGATATTCGGTCTTTTTCAGTTCAGTGCAAATTTTGATGGTCAGATTTTGATCCGTATGATCTAGTTTTGTCGGACATTTAGGCTTAGCCATCCGATGGATGGTTGCTGTTGTGGTGTACCCCAGCTCGGTGACGACGACACTGAGGGTTAACCGAGGATGTATGTGAATGGCCAGCCTATGGATGGTTGTTGTTGTGGTGCACCTCAGCGCGGTGACGACGACACTGAGGGCCAACCGAGGATGTACAAGGATGGCCAGCCTATGGAGGGTTGCTGTTGTGGTTGTACCTCAGCGCGGTGACGACGACACTGAGAATTAACAGAGGATGTGCAGTGAGCAATGATCTCTTTACTCAGCAGTCTTTTAACCAAAGGTTGTAATTTTAGCTGTATGTTTGTCAACCCTACTCATGTTCCTAATGAGTTTTGATAACATTTTTCACCCAAGCGTTTGGGGGCGGGCTGATGAGAGCCACAAGGACACATCACCTCTGGGGGCCGCCAAACTCCGAGATCCCCTGACAGCTCTGTTAATGCTCATTTGAGACATTATCCGTGGCGCACGACGAGGACGTGCTGTAGGGGTCTTGCGTGGGGTTCCGTACAACCAGGATAGTAAAGGACTGGCGCCCGAGTGACGTACGGAGTATCTCCTTATACACGTCATGTTGGGCTTAACTTCCCCTCACGCCTGTGACATAAATCACCGCGCCACCATCAAGTACTGATTTTAGATCTGTTAGTATTACTACATAGTTACCAAGGATCTGTCAGTATTACCACATAGTAACCAAGGATCTGTCAGTATTACCACATAGTTACCAAGGATCTGTCAGTATTACCACATAGTTACCAAGGATCTGTCAGTATTACCACATAGTTACCAAGGATCTGTCAGTATTACCACATAGTTACCAAGGATCTGTCAGTATTACCACCACATAGTTACCAAGGTTGGTATTCATTGCTACATCTTGACTGATTCGGTTTCTGCACCGTAGTTATAGAAGAACTTTGTTACTTGCACATTTGATACACTTACCTTCTAGACTCTTTCATAACACTGAAAATGTCAGTCTGCCACACCAGGTCATGGTTGAAGTCAAAAGGTGTTGAGTGAATCCTGGCATCTGGAGCTTGTCTTTGCAAAGTGGACGTCACCTTTTTAGCGAGTTCTTTGTCTGCAGGTGAGAATGACAGGCAGATGTCATACGGCCGACTGATCTTGTCCTGCAATGTGGAAGCACAGGAAGTCAAACACAGAACCTGCGTTAGATTAAAGGTTTAAAGAGACGAACCCTGTGGCAGAACAAAATGGAGATTTTTTTATCTACAACTTCAAACATGAGGATGGAAAGGGAGGCAATCACTGTGGCTCTGATTTGGTTAGCAGAAAACAAAGTTACCAGAGGAATGATTGTGTCTGATTCTCAGTCGGCATTGCCGATGGTTCAAAAGGGACTCATGTGGCATGAGTGGATACCAAGCATCAGTACACCAACGTTGCAGGGAATCACATAGATATGCTGTCTGGGAAATTCAGGAATGCGAGGGAATGAAAGAGCAGATTTTCTGGCTTCAAAAGCAAAAGCTACGTGAATACTCAAACTGGACAAAGGAGATATTCTGAAGACCATATATAATAAGAATGTTGACAGAAGACACGAGATTAGATGAAATAACATGTGCAAGAATGTGTGAACGAGGAATTAAGTGTGGATCCAGAATGGAGGGATGTATGAGAGGAAGAGAATGACGTGTGTATAATCAGTGCCCTATAGGAATAGTTAGCATCTACGTCTTAAGACACTTGCTGTGGGAGACGGAGCACTTATAGGTATGCCTGGTGTGCTATGATGTCGATTCTCAAATCAGTAATTAGAAATGAAGAGAAAATATGTAAACTGAAGACCTTTTTCATGGACTGGCCTACTGAATGCTGTTACTAGATCCATATTTAAAGACTAATTATAACACTTTATGTTGGCGTCGTTCGTTGTCACGTTTCTGTCTTTCCAGATGACAGTGTTATGAGGAGGTATAGGTGTCACAGCCCGTAGAATTGTTGAGTGAAAAATTCATCCTCTCCATAACACACAGCCTGAGCAGCATTGTACAAACTGTGTGATGCCAAGGTCACGCATCATGATCCCTCTCTTGGCCTGCCTTGTTTACTCCGAAGGTAAGATAACACTAGCATGTTTGGAGCAAAGCATGATGCAGAAGCCACCAGATCAGAAGAGCAGTGCTCTGTTGTTTGCCTGTTAAAGCCTTCTTCCTAGACCAGCTGCCGGCTAAGGGCTTGATGGGCAATAGTTTAAATGTCATGCCGATCACATTTTCTTCCCAGGATATTTTCTAGTAGCTAATTAAGGCTGGATCAACCTCGCAACTGTGAACTGTACAAATAAGCAGACTGGAACCCAAGACATTCAGGCCAGTTTCTAGGTACTCCACTACAAGTAGCCTGACAATGGAGGTCATGGCAGTGAACAAAGCAATAACATGACTAGAGACATAGACATCTACAGGCATGTGCTTAATCAGTTACTCGGTCAGCATGCTCTGGAAGACAGAAATAGGACTGGTTCCAAAGGCAGTGGCTGAAGTCTCTGAGACGGTTGGGGCTGACACACGTCAGTTTCATATTTGTGCCAGGGCATACAGGCTTGCAAGGAAATAAGCAAGTTGATAGGCTTGCTGGGAACCTACTATGGATGACGGAAGCTTCTTGGACCACACTGATATACTGAATGCTCTACAAGAAGTAAGATGTTTGTGAAAACCAAGTGATTAGTGTAAATCTACAACCCTGACCAAACTGCAAGAGCAGCATATTAAAAGGGGTGCAGCCAGACAAGAGCGAAATGCAGGAAGCCAAAGAAGAATAAGAAACCAACACAGAACTGGTGTCATCAGCTGCCACATGCTGCGGGATTTACTGAGGAGCCCTTATAGACTGAATGCTCCAATGTGCAGTGACGATAATCTGTCGACTAGCTAACTAACTATTTAACTAACTAACTAACTAATAGGGATGCTAGTGCAGTTTTATATTTTGGGTTTATACTTACGAAACCATGACAGCTAGATAGAGATTAAAATTACAAATCCAATGATACCCCATTTAAGCCTGTAAGTCGATTCTAAGCGGAGATATTAACATTTTAGTGGCGGATACCACCACAGACAAATTATAGTGGAAATGGACAAAACATGGATTCCTGGCTGCGACCCAGTAAGATGAAATGACTCAATGTTTGCATTTTACGGCCATACCTTTTTTGTTTCTGAACGAATCCCTTAGCAACCAAATATTGCTGGAATCGGGACAGTGAGGCCTAACTGTTTATGCATGTCTCCAATACATACACTACAATATGCGCCTATTTAACATTTGAAAATATCCACAAGCTGATTATTTATCATTTACAGTTGTCTGCCAACGAGCCTGGATTAATACATATCATATTGTGTGTCCTGGCAAGGCGAACATAAAGATCATATAAATGACATGACCTAATTTACAAATACCAAACCCCCCCCCTGCAACAGCGATGTTACCAGGGGTGGTCGTATCTCCGCACAGTAATGACACCCGGGGTGGTTGCACCCCCACTACAGTGATGATGCCGGGGTGGTCGCAACCCCCTCCTGCTACCTTCTTCCTCTGGTATCTCTCCTCTTCTTTCTTTCTATTTCCCTGTGTCTCAGTGCCGACTTTCTATTCTTAGTCTCTTTTTTCCTTCCTCTCTCCTCCTCCTCTTTCTCAACTTTCTCTCAATCTTCTACTCCCCCTCCCCCAATCTCCGTTCTGTATGGTAGAAGAAAACATGAGCCCACTTGTAGTACATGGCCTGTTTTCATAATGGAGTGGTGACAGTGTTAACAACAGGGCAAACACAACAGGTGTGTTCATTTCTGAGAATTAGGTCAGGCCGGATTTTCTTTTCTTTCAAAAATGACCTTGGCTCCCATGTCCACCCAGCATTGAATGTAAGAAATGGATCTATAGCAGCCACACGCGGACAGCCAATGGGATTTTTTGTCAAACCCGAAGCTAAGCTGACCAAAAACCCAAGCAATAAATATATAAGCACAAAAAAACAAAACACCCAAAATTGATAAATAGTACATATTTTATAGTTATGAAATGAAAAATTTACCAATTTTATATATAAGGATATGTATATTTAAAAAAAAAAACAATATTCTAAAATCTTAACCCAAGGTGTCGTATAAAAACCTAGTTCTTGGGGGAAAGCCCAAGTACTGGCAGGCCTGATGGACGGGAACGCGGTCAGCGCTGCTGTTGTTTCTCGACCACTTAGATTTACCAATTCCGACAGAAAATTCTGTGGATTCTAAATAATAACAGACGCATAAAAAAAATGCTACAAGAGTTGTAGATGTTTAAAAAGTAGCTCACCTAACATTAATAATTTACTAAGTATCAGAAGTTAATTACTAAAGAATCATCTTAGAAAATGCGCAATGATGGCCGAAATTAATTATTGGGATTTGGTGGTGATCAGGAAAAAATATCTCCAACAGAAAATACGCAGAGCTCTAAATAATGACAGATGCATGAAATAATGCTACAATGATTTAAAAAAAATGATTAAAATAACGTTAGCTAATTTAATAACTATTTTAAGTTAAGTTAATTATAAAGCAGGACAAGCGGTCTTCTAGTGCAAACATATAGGATTTAAAGCGAAAACAGTGATGCCACTAAACAATTTTTTTTAAACATTTGTGCTCAGCCAATCTTTGTAAAATTTCCCATACTTATTTAAAAATTAACGCAGAATTCAAAAATACGCCACAAATTGGGTTAATCTGGCTAATTAAGAAGATATTAACAAAATTACTTACCGTTAATTCACTGCGTGCTGCCAAAAAAATTTATTTATTGTAAACGCGTCAAAACCATCTCAGTATTTTCTGTTGGAGATATTTTTTCCTGATCACCCCCAAGTCCCAATAATTTCCACATCACTAGGCATACTGGGTATATAGGGCTAGACCTATATTTGTATACCAATCGGCAGTCAGGTTGTCATGTGGTCAATACCACGCTGGTCAACTTTACTCCCCAAGGCTTTACCTTGTACTCATTGTAGGCTGGGTTGACTTGGGAGCCAATGTCATTTCTGAATAAGAAAAAAATCTGGCTCAATGCGGATTTGAACCTACAACCTTCGCGCTGAGGTGAGCATCTAGCCGTTACACTATGACAGCTTCACAAACAAGCAAATCGCAAGCATAAAACACAAAAACACAGCAGAAAGACAAAACAAAAGAGGAAACATACAGCTTTCTTTGCTTTATAACTCCACTTGGTCTTTAGCTGAGCAAATAACTTCAGGTATGTTTTGTCCATCTCACTCAGCACACTGGGATTTCCTGAGAATATCACAATCTTCAAGCAGTGTAGAGGCAACCCTGCTTGTATCCAATGACAGGCTCCGTTCACCATGGCTTTGAGAACTAGTTCGCCACTGTGTCCCTGAGACAACATTAGTTATGAGAAAACAGTATCACTGTGAATACTGGAAAATTATATCATTCTGAATACTGGGAAATGTTATTATTCTGAATGCTGGGAAATATTACCATTCTGAATACTGGGAAATATTACCATTCTGAATACTGGGAAATATTGCCATTCTGAATACTGGGAAATATTACCATTCTGAATACTGGGAAATATTATCATTCTGGATATTGGAAAACAGTATCATATGGAATAGGGGAAAATAATATCATTCTGAATACTGGAAAATTATATCATTCTGAATACTGGGAAATGTTATTATTCTGAATGCTGGGAAATATTACCATTCTGAATACTGGGAAATATTACCATTCTGAATACTAGGAAATATTATTAATCTGAATACTGGAAAATAGTATAACTGTGAATAGTGGAAATTAATATCATTTTCAAATACTGGGAAATAGTATCATTCTGAATACTGGGAAATAGTATCATTCTGAATACTGGGAAATATTATTATTCTGAATACTGGAAAATAGTATAACTGTGAATAGTGGAAATTAATATCATTTTCAAATACTGGGAAATAGTATCATTCTGAATACTGGGAAATATTACCATTCTGAATACTGGAAAATATTACCATTTTGGACATAAGAAAATATTATAATTCTGAATCTTGAAACATATTATCGTTCTGAATATTGAAAAATGCTGTTCTGTACAATTCCTTAAATTTTCACCTATGGTTTAAGAGTTATAAATGTAATGAGTCCTGTTGGGGTGCAGGTGATTCAACAGCAAATTGCACTGCACTGATTTTGACAACAGTATGGGCATTTCCTCACAATGCATTATTCATTTTAACTTGGGTTTTCCATGAAAAAGCTTCTGGTGAAAATGGATGCTACGTACAACCACTGTTTTGAGCCATGGAAAATGTTTGGCTTCTGCCAGACGGTTGCTGTTGCATTTTTGCTCCATTTGTAGACTGAAAGGATATAGTTTCGTTGCCCAGCTTCTGAGCTGAGTGCACGACACTGTGAGCTGCTGATTTAATTTGGAATGTTTTTCGACTGTGACCAACGTGGTGGTGTCAATTGTAGATTCAGAAAATGGCACTATGCCTCTTGTCACAATATTGGTGGTGCCATTATGTGATTAAAATTGATCGCGTGTGCAACTGCTGATCTGTTGGTGACTTCTGCTACCATCCATAATCATCATCATCACCATCAGTTCTCGTTATGCCTAGTGGCACATGAGGCTTCAGAGAGGACTTTCCATGCTTTCCTGTCCTGTGCAATCTTCAGTGTAGTTTTCCATGTCAAAGATGCCGCACTCAGGTCACTTTCCATCGTTCGTCTCCATGTTGTTTTTGGGCGCCCCTGTTTTCTCTTTCCCTCTGGTGTCCATGTGAGAGCTGTTTTGGCAGGTATATCAGAAGTCATTCTCATAACGTGGCCAAGCCATTTCCATCTTCTCTTGATTATCATTCTGTCTAAGTTTCTTGGTTTGTGGCTTGAAGTAGTTTAGTGTTTGAGATTGTATCTGGCCAGAAAATTTTGATAATTCTACGTAGACATGTGTGGTGGAAGGTGGACAGCTTGTGTGCATCCTTTTTGGTCATTCTCCAGCATTCCGCTCCATAAAGAAGAACTGGCAAAATAATTCTCTTGTAGAGTCAGAGTTTTGTTCCTCTGCAGTAACTGTTGGATTTCCAGATTTGCCTCATCCTTCCAAAAGCAGCTCTAGCTTTGTTCAGGCGTGACTGTATGTCTTCCTCTGTCCCTCTCAGTAGGGACACCACACTGCCAAGATATGTGAAATGTTCTACATTTTCAAGTGATTGGTTACTTATGGTCACTTGTTGTTGGTTTGGACTGTTTGCCATGATCTTAGTTTTCTTTGTATTTATTCTCAGTCCCACCATTTCTGCTGTGCAGTGTAGTCTGTTACTTTTCTCTTGTATATGTTCATGTTTATGTGATAGGAGTGCTATATCATCTGCAAAATCAAGGTCCTCAAGCATGGTGAATGGAGTCCATTGTATGCTTCTTAATGTCCTGTCTACAGTGTGCTTTAGTATCCAATCAATCACATCACATCCCTGTCTTACACCTGTCTTTACTGGGAAAGATGTAATTTTTTATACTGCAGGAAAAGTCTAAATAGAAGAGAGCAATTACGTTGACTATTTTTTCTGGAATTCCATAACGTCGTAAAATTTTCCACAGACCGTCTCTATGGACGCTGTCAAAAGCTTTCTCAAAGTCCACAAAATTAATACATATACTTCTCTGCCATTCATTGCATTGTTCTAAAATGTTACGTATGGCGAAGATGTGCTCAGTTGTTCCTTTGCCCTTTCTGAATCCTGCTTGTTCCACTCGTAGGCATTTATCTACTCCTTTTTCAAGCCGCATTATGATGATTTTACATAATATTTTGCTTGGTACTTAGAGTAGAGTAATTCCCCTCCAATTATTGCAGTCTGTTTAGTCTCCTTTTTTGGGGATTTTGACTATTGTTCCTTCAGTCCAGTCATCAGGTAACACTTTTTTCCCCAAATATCCTTGAACAATGGTTCAAGAAGGCTAGCAGTTGTGTTGGGATCTACTTTGAGAAGTTCTGCTGGCAATTCGTCTTTGCCTGGTGCTTTGTTGTTCTTTAAAGTGTGGATATCCACACCATCCATAATCAACAGCATTTTAAATGTCGGACTGTCTGTGCTAGCACTTCAGATGGCTACCGTATGCTTTTAATGCATGTGTATGCTAGATAAGCTGAGACAGCAGTCTGTCAATCTTTCCACAAGGGACTGTGATAAACATTCTGTGTGTTTTTTGTTGGCACAGGAACAGAGCAACTATGGGGTAACCCGTTTGCTATGAAGCTAAAACTAAGATTTCCAGATTAAAAAAAACTCCAAATGAAAACTTTGAAAGTGCGATAACAATTATAATAACCATGCCACTGTCTTGCAGCCTGTCAATATTGTTGTTAAGGATGTCAAGAGTGTTTAACATGTGACATCACTGTGACTTCCTAATGACAGTTTAAATTATGACCACCCCACTTTTGACATGCACTAAAGTGGAGCCAGTGTTCTTTTAGCTCAGACAGATCATAATGAATCAGCATCAGGGGAGCAGTTAGAGAGTATTTATCTAACATCATAGAGAATTTGCATTACAAAGACATTATACGATTTGAAGATATCAACAGTATTTTGAAAAAAGCAAAAGAAACTGCAGCAGGGCCTGATGGGGTTAAGTATGGCCACAAGAAGGTATTGAGTGATGTAGGCTTTAGGCAGATGACTGACTGCTTTAACCAGAGCATGAGGACAGCATCAATACAGCAGGACTGGTGCATAGCTATTTAATCCCACTACCAAAACCATGCAAAGATCACTCAAAACTAAACGCTTTAGAATCACCACGTTACAAAACACATTTGGGAAGGGCTTGGAGAAGATATGCATCCTGGAGAACATCAGGGGAAGAGAAGAGTAGGTCAGAGTGCCAGCGGAACAGTCAGATTTGTGTAAAATAATCATATTTAACTGGGAGTTCAGAAAGTGGCCAGCAGGTGCCATGGAGGCAGAAATTCAGCAATTAATTCAAGATAATGCTCGCTGAGAGGATGTTATTACACAGACGATTCAGTGTCAAGAGGCAAAAGAAGTGCCCGGGAGATTCTTAGCCAAAGCTTATGGTCAACATTTGGTGCAGGAGAGTCTTGTATATGATACCACAACATCCAGTTTTAAGAATGGAGGTGGAGGCGGTCATTGCAGCTTTCCGCTGGTTACAGAACACGACACACGTGTACAATTTAGAGGAGCAAATGGATCACCTTAGTCTGATGAGAGTGATGCAGTGAGCAGTGACAAGGGGATCTGGCCGATACTTGACGCCCCCAGGAAAGGCAAGATGGACATATAATCAGACTGCTATCAGTACAATTGGTATGGAAACTTTCCCCTGGCTGCTGAAGATGGGGATAGAGCACTTATGTGAATGCCCTGAGCGCTATGATGTCAGTTCTTGAATCAACTTACCTGTCGCCAGAAGTAGGGTGAACTAGGGATCACAACTACCTATCTACCAGCAAGTAAAGGTTACTGACCTGGTTTCCTGTGGTCAGAAGTAGTGTGAACTAGGGATCACAACTACCTATCTACCAGCAAGTAAAGGTTACTGACCTGGTTTCCTGTGGTCAGAAGTGGGATGAACTAGGGATCACAACTACCTATCTACCAGCAAGTAAAGGTTACTGGTCTGGTTTTCTGTGGTCAGAAGTGGGATGAACTAGGGATCACAACTACCTATCTACCAGCAAGTAAAGGTTACTGGTCTGGTTTTCTGTGGTCAGAAGTGGGGTGAACTAGGGATCACAACTACCTATCTACCAGCAAGTAAAGGTTACTGACCTGGTTTCCTGTGGTCAGAAGTAGGGTGAACTAGGGATCACAACTACCTATCTACCAGCAAGTGAAGGTTACTGACCTGGTTTCCTGTGGTCAGAAGTAGTGTGAACTAGGGATCACAACTACCTATCTACCAGCAAGTAAAGGTTACTGACCTGGTTTCCTGTGGTCAGAAGTGGGGTGAACTAGGGATCACAACTACCTATCTACCAGCAAGTGAAGGTTACTGACCTGGTTTTCTGTGGTCAGAAGTAGGGTGAACTAGGGATCACAACTACCTATCTACCAGCAAGTAAAGGTTACTGGTCTGGTTTTCTGTGGTCAGAAGTGGGGTGAACTAGGGATCACAACTACCTATCTACCAGCAAGTAAAGGTTACTGACCTGGTTTCCTGTGGCCAGAAGTGGGGTGAACTAGGGATCACAACTACCTATCTACCAGCAAGTAAAGGTTACTGACCTGGTTTCCTGTGGTCAGAAGTGGGGTGAACTAGGGATCACAACTACCTATCTACCAGCAAGTAAAGGTTACTGATCTGGTTTTCTGTGGTCAGAAGTGGGGTGAACTAGGGATCACAACTGTCTATCTACCAGCAAGTGAAGGTTACTGACCTGGTTTTCTGTGGTCAGAAGTGGGGTGAACTAGGGATCACAACTGCCTATCTACCAGCAAGTGAAGGTTACTGACCTGGTTTCCTGTGGCCAGCAGGGGAGTGATGACACTACTCTCTGTGTTGTTGAAGATCGGCATCATGGCTAGAAACATCTGGGACAGCTGCTCAGCCAGTGAGTCCATTTTCTTATTGCTGCAGGTAGACATAAATATTTCATTCAATTAATTAGGTGCTATCTCTACAGAAAAGCTTGTCTTCAATGGATCACTAACATACTGTCTCTTGTCTTGACAGTACACCACTCTCTCAGAGGGCTGTTTGTCTTTATATTGTCCTTCCTACTTGTATCACTGTCTACTTCTTGTTCTCTTGCATTCAACTTCTCCCTCCAGTATAATAAAAAAAAAAATATTACATTTAAAAAAAACAACTGTGATGGAGTAAAATGGAAGAGAGACATTGGAGAACATCGTGACAACTGGAAAGATCAGTGGGAAAAGGGGTAGAGGCAGACCAAGAGAGATGATGCTGGATGGGCTGAAACGATGGCTTGGAGGGATATCATTAAGAGAGCTGTTCCAGGCAACCAGAGATCGTGATCTGTAGAGACGCATTTGAGCCTATGCCAGTTGGCAGAGCACATGATGATAATGAGGATGATGATAGAGAGGACAGTTTTTGGAAAACAAGGCAAAGACCAACCTCTAAGAAGTTGGCTACAAGACACTGAAGATACATTGCCTATGAAAGCACATAGAGCTAGAGAACTCGCTGGAGAAAGAAAGACATTCTGTAAAGAATCTCCTGACTAATGATTATAATTAATAATACTGCATGCCACTATGTAAAAGATACTCCCATGTTTAAGATGGTCCCTAGTTTCTGAGTCCAAAATTAGGAAATAACAATTTAAATACGTTTCATGCATTAGGCTACCCCCAATTTTAATTTTTTATTTTGGTAAACATTTATACTTTGTCAGATACAGTAACTCATTCGTTGTCTTTCTATTTCAGAAGTCTGGGAGCTCTAATGTAAAAAAATAAAAGTAAAGACCCCTTTTCACACCTTTAGGCGTATCGGGCATATGGGAAGAGCGTCCATATTTTTACAGACCATCAGCACTCGGTGGGTAATGAGGTCAGCATTACGCCGGCCTTCTTTTTCCCAGGACAGCCCATCCTGGTACCCATTTTAGGCTGGGTCGACCTGCGATGCCCCATACCACGATAAAAATCCACACAGCCAGCAGTGGGTTTCGATTGCGGTATGTTGGATTACGAGTCGGACTCGCAACGCCTGAGCCACGGACACTGTGAGCTGGATTGTAAAAAAAAAAAAGTCACCAACATCATGTGCTATGCCAGAGAGCACAGATGATCATGGTTCATCATCTTACGAGGGCCTTGATTAAAAACATCAGCCTTGATGCAAATTTTTAACCCAAGACCTCTGGGCTGGTGGTAAAGTGTTTAGATACTATGCTACCATGTGTGTGAGAATTACACATTCTCTTATGAAACAAGTGGTGAGGGAAAATGAAGGCACTGGATAAAACATGCAATAAGAAAACCTAATAAATGTATGGCTAGAATGTTGGGAAAACCTGAGAACAATATAACTAGAATGTCTTTGTACTAGAACCCCACAAGGGCAGAGAAATAAAGGCAAACCAAAAAACATATGGAGATGGGAGCTAGAGAGTGAAGTTAAACAGAGGATGCACGGTGAGCTATACGCAATGGTGAAGGACAGAATGACTTGGCAGAGTTGGCTGAAGGTGGAAGGCAGAAGAAGAATTTACATTTACTGGAAGCAACATAACTAAAAAATAAAGAGTGACTAAAACCACACGCAGCAGCAATTAAGAGACGGAAGTCAATAAGACAGAGATGACAGGCAGTAAGTTGTAAGAGACAGCAAAGTACAATATAACATGACATAACCCTTGGAGTGTATCAATGGAAGCCTCACATTCTATATGCGTGTGTGACTGAGTGTGAACAGTGATGTGTGTATTTATATATTTAAGATAAGAGAATAATCTTCACAGCACAAGGTTTTATCCAATATGATAAGGTCTGGATTTGGACGATTAGTGAAAAATTATTTGGAAATGGAATAAATGCGGTTTTATAGATGAATGATGAAAATACCCTGTACAGATAAAAAGAATGATGAAAAGTTCTTGAAAGGAGCTGACTCACAAAGGCAATTGATTGAAGAAAACAATCTATATTCTTTGGTTATCTCATGAGAAGGACACAACTGGAGTATATCGTGACGATGGGAAAGCTGAAGGGGAAGGAGGCAGAAGGAGACCGATAGAGAAGATGCTGGACAGTGTGACATCATGACATAGAAGACCATCTGTGTCAGAATTGATTCAAAGTGCACAAGATAGAAAACTGTGGTTTGACACGATTACCAATGCCACATTGCATGCACTATAAGAAGAAGATTTGATCTCTCTGCACAATATTGCTGAACATGTTAAAAAAAGCATGAACTCAGTAGCTCCAGTGACAATCCTCAGGGATCTTCATGAACATTGCACTCATGGACTAAGTGGCTTGGTCCGTGAAACAAACCTGCCAGTATCATTTTCCCCGTGTGGGTTGCGAGGCCCCATTATGGGGAAAACAAGAATAGACCCAATGCTTCCCTAACAAGCATGCTGTATGATTCAACTAATTAGGGGCAACCTTCGATGTCGGAGTGCATCTGCCTGTAGGCAGGGAACCAACAGTCTGCATATGAACAAGCCAGATCTGTGAAATGGATGTACACGCAACACTACACCCAGGTTCTGGAGACAGATTAAAGTCCGGAGGTGGACCAACAACCAGAACTTTCCACTGCAGTTTACAGCAGGTGAATGGGAAGACGAAGAATTATTTTGGACCCAATTTGGTTATAAAAAAAAAGGTGACATACTTTTCCAGACAGACTATATGTCGGAACGGAACCGAGTCAGGCAGGGCTGCAGAAACCCAGCAAGAGAAATTTTTCCGCAAATCCAGCCATTTATTTCTGGCCAGATCTTTGACATTAATGCCCAGGTTCCACTTCAGACTGCCTATGAGGGTTGATTTTGCTGGCTGGTAGTCCCCTGATGATATACAAATCAAGATTCAAAACAATGTTTTCCTCTCATGAATTTAAATAACTAGGATAAAAGTAAGGTGGTAATGTTGTTAATATTATACTTATGTGGTGAGAGGCAGAGTGCAACAAGAGATGTGATTTGTGTATTTCATTTGAAAGCATTCATGTTTTGTGCTTCACATATACATATGGTGTAGTGGCTAGACACTTGTCTGCAGATCTGAAGGTTGCAGGTTCAGACCCTGATGGAGCTGGACAGCTGTTAAGCAGTACTCCTTGAAACAGAAAGGGCTGAAGTAACAACTGCTTGGTTTACAACAGTTAATGCCTTAAAAAACAGATAACATCATAAATATTTCTGATTTTGAAAGGGTTAATAAAGACAAATTATAAATACGATCTTTATACCGACATTAGGTTATCAATGTCAGACTTGGACATTAACAAAAGAACACGAGAGAAGACTAACCACCTGTGAAATGAGATGTTTGAGAATGGCTGCGAATAAAACCAGAAGAGATCGAGTGAGAAACGATGTGATTACAAGAACTATTGGAACCATACCCATCGTTAAATTTATTGAGAAGCAAAGAATGAAATAGTTTGGTCACCTAATGAGAATGGAACCAACGATGCCAGCATCAAGAGCATACAACATGAAAATCGAAACACCAAGAGGCAGGGGAAGACCAAGAAGAAGATGGATTGAAGGAGTCACGGACAACTTCAGACTTCATAACATCACGGCATATGAAGCGACTGAGCGCGCCCTGGCTCGGTTGCCGATCATTTGATAGACTGTGACGCCTAGCGGCACAAGCAGATTTTGACAAAATAAAGAACAAACCAGTAGTAGGCAATCAGTCGTACCGCCAACATTACTCTCCATAGTTTGCACATATAGCATTTTTTTGAAAATTCTAACTAATTAAGAAAAACAAACACAATGGAAGCATACTCATAAAAGCCAATTAACACAAATGAAATATTACCATAGAAAGCTGAAATAAATATCATGTCCACTTTTTCCTCCTGTGGCAATTTGGTAATGTCCCCAATTAAAAGTTGAATTTCATGCGATCCCAGCGGGGTCGAAAGTTCAAGTTTATCCTTCAAGAGAAGACCCATTCTGTAACTGAATAAAACAGAAAAAAAATTCAACCAGCTCAAATTCTTGTATTATTCATAACAACAAAAAATATTACCCAACTTCTTTTTTTTGGTGTTCACTGGTTGTAAGCTCTGGCAGAAAGTCCTGGTTGTTTGTCCACATACAGACAGACCGACCTTGTTCCAGGAACTGAGTGCAGCTAGCACATCCATTTTTTGTTCCAGGAACTGAGTGCAGCTAGCACATCCATTTTGTGTTCCAGGAACTGAGTGTAGCTAGCACATCCATTTTTTTTTCCGGGAACTGAGTGTAGCTAGCACATCCATTTTTTGTTCCAGGAACTGAGTGTAGCTAGCACATCCATTTTTTGTTCCGGGAACTGAGTGTAGCTAGCACATCCATTTTTTGTTCCAGGAACTGAGTGTAGCTAGCACATCCATTTTTTGTTCCAGGAACTGAGTGTAGCTAGCACATCCATTTTCTGTTCCAGGAACTGAGTGTAGCTAGCACATCCATTTTTTGTTCCAGGAACTGAGTGTAGCTAGCACATCCATTTTGTGTTCCAGGAACTGAGTGCAGCTAGCACATCCATTTTTTTTTCCAGCAACTGAGTGCTGCTAGCACATCCATTTTTGTTTGTTCCAGGAACTGAGTGTAGCTAGCACATCCATTTTTTGTTCCGGGAACTGAGTGTAACTAGCACATCCATGTTTTGTTCCAGGAACTGAGTGTAGCTAGCACATCCATTTTTTGTTCCAGGAACTGAGTGCTGCTAGTACATCCATTTTTACAGATCTGGATTATTTGAATGTAGACCGTTTTGTTTATGGCATCTCAGGCAGATGCGCTCCAGCTCTGAAGGAAACGTTGATTTTATCCATGTTGGCCAGGCAACTACGTTAAGCATGACCAAGGAGATAGCTGCTATTTCCAGAGCACTTGCATGGGTAGCAGAACAAGCGGCCACACATTCCGTAATCGTCTCAGACTATGAACATGCTTCAGAAAATTGCTACAGGTAGTCTACACTCTGAATAGGAAGAAAGGTCTATCCTCTGAACTTCGGGCACTAAAGATGGCAGCCGCAAAATATCCTTTCGAGCCACAGTCACGTGACTTAATTTGCGGTTCTCTGGCGACTACCGCCACGAGTCCCCCATGCAGCTCACTCGGCGTGGATTGGGGCTAAACTATATAAAAAGGATATTTTGTGGCCACCATCTTTAGTGCCCAAAATTTGGAGGATAGCCGAAGAAAGCATTTTAAAGTCGCATTTAACCTTCATCATCTGGATCTTCACACTGGGCACACATAAATAAATGGTAATGAAATAGCTGACCAGCTGGCAAGTAATGCACCACAGAGAATCACTTCAGAAAGACAATCATGGTTTCAGTGTAGGAAATTTTCTTAGCTTATTGAAACTACTGGCTGTTTTGACCCTCTCATGAAAGAACATGACATATGTGAAATACCATGCTGGATCCGTGCAGTATCTCTTCCCTGCTGTGCAGAATGAAATCACCTGATAGCATCTGCTTTTCACCAGAATTTACTGAGAAGCATCGTAGAGCCAAGTACTATGGTACCATGTTTCGCTCGACTCCTGATCAGGCACATTGTGAGCAGATGACAGAAGCAGTAAGGGATGTGGAAGCTGATTCTGAGAGGAAAGTCGATGTTAAAAGAGTCCTTCCTTGCTTTCTTCTTCTTTGCGGTCACCAGCTGTAAACTCTGGCGGAAAGTTCTGGTTGTTTATCCACTTCTGGACTGCAGTCCTGTTCCAAAACCTGAGTGTTAGGTGTGCATCTGTTTTACAGATCTGACTCATTTGTATGCAGACTGCTGGTTGCTTGCCTCTCAGGCAAATGCACTCTGACTTCAAAGGAAGCACCCAATTAGTCGACTCTTACGACATGTCTTTGGGTAGGCAGTTGGTCTATTCTTGTCTTCCCTATAATAGGGCCCCGGAACCCACACGGGGACTTCCGTGCTTTGATTCAGATAAGCCAGAAGGATGCTAAGAGCTTGGTTCAAGACACATTGAACCAGCTAGAGAAAGATGAAGTGGAACTAGAAGATTGTCAATTACAGAGCTACAACACTACTGTGATAGCTAGACACTGCAGTTGTGTTCAACAAAGAATAAGTGATAAAAACAACTGACTATGCACATTATTTGTGACAATCACTCGCTCAGTTTGGTAGGTGTACATGCAGCTAAGCAGAAGTCAGTGATGGTGACGTTTTTTTGCAGCCATTCAAGCCATCTACATTTTTTTTTCTCTGTTGTTCCAAAAAGCGTTGGAAAATACTGCCATCCCCATGGTTATAAAGTCAGAGTTTAAAACTAGGTGGAGTGCAAGGAAAGATGCTGTAAACCCTCTCAACAAGTACACTGAAATCATACAGCATCCTCTAGAATATATATAGACTTAATTATTCTCTGTGAAGAATGGAATGTTGATGTAGAAAATCTTTGGAAACCAAAGAGACAAATGGCCGGTGAGAACTCAATAGACGCTCAGTTAACTCTTTGAGTCCCAAGGAACGCATCATACGTTCATAGGTTCCTACCTAGAAGCCCAGTGAACGCATGATGCACCGATTTTATTACTTTCTTGACTACCCTCTGGGCCTGTGATGCTAAACCCTCTGGGACTCAAAGAGATAATGGAGAAAGATGAGGTCAATAGGGTCATTAAGGTAACATTCGACTGTCTTCACAGAGAAAAGGCTGAAAGGTGTACTTATTTGCCTGACACAGATGCACAGTTTGAGTTTCTCTTTGAGGTTGTTGTACTGTGTTATAAAGTTTGGACAAGGAGCTAAATCAGAATTGTGAAAGTTTATGTGAATTTTACAGCTGTGATACTGATGGGCAGCAGTATATATGAAAAGATTTTGAACTGCATAATGTTGCCATGGGCGCCAAATATACTAGCCATGGAGCCAAATACCCTAGGTTGCCATGGTGCCAAATATACTGTTGCCATGGAGCCAAATTCCATGGGTTGCCATGGTGCCAAATACACTGGGTTGCCATGGGCACCAAATACCCTAGGTTGCCATGGCACCAAATACACCAGGTTGCCATGAGTTTTAAAAAAAAAAGCATAGATTGTCATGGAGCCAAATACCCTAGGTTGCCATGGTGCCAAATATACTGTTGCAATGGAGCCAAATTCCATGGGTTGCCATGGTGCCAAATACCCTGGGTTGCCATGGGCACCAAATACCCTAGGTTGCCATGGGCACCAAATACCCTAGGTTGCCATGGCACCAAATACACTAGGTTGCCATGAGTTTTAAAAAAAAAAGCATTGTCATGGAGCCAAATACCCTAGGTTGCCATGGTGCCAAATATACTGTTGCCATGGAGCCAAATTCCATGGGTTGCCATGGTGCCAAATAACCTGGGTTGCCATGGGCACCAAATACCCTAGGTTGCCATGGGCACCAAATACCCTAGGTTGCCATGGCACCAAATACACTAGGTTGCCATGAGTTAAAAAAAAAAAGCATAGATTGTCATGGAGCCAAATACCCTAGGTTGCCATGGTGCCAAATATACTGTTGCCATGGAGCCAAATACCCTGGGTTGCCATGGAGCCAAATACACTAGGTTGCCATGAGTGTAAAAAAAAAAAAATCATAGATTGTCATGGTGCCAAATACCCTAGGTTGCCATGGGTGCCGAATACCCTAGGTTGCCATGGGCGTTAAATATCATAGTTTGCCATGGGCATCGAATACCCGAAGTTGCCATGGGCACCAAATACCCTAGCTACGCCCCTGTACCCAAGGGGTAGTAAGAACAAGTCTAAAAAGAATGTGACTGTTCCGGTGAAAACAAGATGTATTGACACCCTACATATTGGCAAGGAGAATACTGTGAGTTTTTACGATGCTCTTCTATGCCACACTAAAAAAGGATAGCATATCTAAACATACTTGCTGTTACCAACGAAGCACTGTTGTGTGACAGTAATATGTTTGATTTCATGTTGTCACTAGTTTTCAGTGTGTTTATTCTTCTTCTGCGTTCGATATCAGTCATGCTAAACATTGAGTCCCGTCTGGGTCACAAATAGGATTGTGCGTTTAAGGTCGCCACCGGTCCCCCATAGCTTCTCTTGCAATGTGGCTCCTTTGGGCCAGATCCACAGTCTTTGCTGGGAGAGGTAAGGGCAGTACTGCAGTATGTGTTCAGGGGTTTGTCTTTCTGCTCCACAATCACAGGCAGCAGATTCTTTTATGCCTATCCTGTACATGTGTGCTCTAAGACCACAGTGTCCAGTCCGAAGTCTAAGAATTGATGTTTGTTCTTTCCTGTTGAGTTTGTTTATGCTGTCACTCTCTGGTCTGTAATCTCCATTCTGCCTTCTCCACTCCCGCTTGAAAGACTGCTTTAGCGCTGTTTTGGTTTCCTTGTAGCTGTGTGGTGGATGAGGTTGTGGAAGATTACTCCCAGCTTTTGCCAACCCATCTGCTCTCTCATTTCCTTGAATACCACAGTGGGCTGGTATCCACTGCAAGACCAGTTCTGCTTCCTTGGAGAGTAAGCCAATGTTGGTCCTTTATAAATCGTCCAGTCAGTAATACTACTAATACTTATTTTATAATTCTATAAGTTTCGTTAATTTAGATATTAATTGCGAGTTTATAGCGGCAACCCATCTGATGGTTTGATCTGAGCATACGAAACCGAACGCAAAGAAGAAGAAGAAGATATTAATTAATTTATTATGGTATTTCAATGGATTAAACTTTTTTTCGGGCCGAAGAGACCTGCATTCAACGGTTTATTTCCGTGTTTAGAATTGAATTACTTATAGTTAATAGTATACTTGAATTACTATTAGAATAATTATGATGCTGCCTCTTCGCCGTTTTTTTCTGGTCATAGTTGATCAAATTACACAAAATTTTATTACTTACTGTGTAGTTTTAGAAGCGTGTTATCTTGAAAAAATTCTTACACTTGTTAAAGTTGTCTAAATTCTAAATACCGGCA